ACAATTGAAAAAATAAATAAAATTTAAAAAGAAATGAGCTGGGCATGGTGGCGGGCACCTGTAATCCCAGCTACTTGGGAGGCTGAGGCAGAAGAATCACTTGAACCCAGAAGGCAGAGGTTGCAGTGATCTGAGATTGTGCCATTGCACTCCATCCTGGGTGGCAAGACAAGCAAGACTCCGTCTCAAATACAAAATAAAATTAAAATTAAAAAATACGGTTGGGTGCAGTGGCTTATGCCTATAATCCCAGCATTTTGTGGGGCTAAGGTGGGAGGACCACTTCAGCCCAGGAGTTTGAGACCAGCCTGGGCAACATAAGGAAACTCCATCTAAACAAACAAAAAAAAGTAGCTGGGCACAGTGGCATACACTTATAGTCCAAGCTACTTGGGAAGTTGAGGTGGGGGGATTGCTTGAATGCAAAAGGTCAAGGCTGCAGTGAGTTGTGATCACACCACTGCACTCCAACCTGGGGAGACCCAGTCACAAAAAAAAAAAAAAAAAAAAAAAGAAAAGGAAAATAAACTAGAATTAAAGCACTTGGTTTCCTATCTTGTTATAAGAAGTCAAGAAATTATACAAGTTATTAACTAAAGAATCTCAGCGGTTGGGCACAGTGGCTCATGCCTGTAATCCCAGCACTTTGGGAGGCCAAGGCAGGCGGATCACAAGGTTAGGAGTTCCAGACCAGCCTGACCAACATGGTGAAACCCCCGTCTCTAGTAAAAATTTAAAAATTAGCTGGGCACGGTGGCAGGCACCCGTAATGCCAGCTACTCAGGAAGCTGAGGCAGGAGAATCACTTGAACCCAGAAGCAGAGGTTGCAGTGAGCCGAGATCACACTACTCCACTCCACTCCACCCTACCATAGGTGACAGAGCGAGATTCTGACTCAAAACAAAAAAGAATCTTAGCACAATCCCGCTGAAAAAGTAATCTCTGTCAATATAAACAGTTTCAAATGACAGAGAAATTGTAGCATGTTGCAGGCTGGGTGAGGCTCATGTCGCAATCACAGCACTTTGGGAGGCCAAGGCAGGGAGACTGCTTGCGTACAGGACTTTGAGACCAGCCTGGGCAACATAGTGAAACGCCATCTCTACAAAAAAATATAAAAACTAGCCAGGCATGGTGGCACATGCCTGTAGTCCCACTGACTTGGGAATCTGAGGTGGGAGGATCACTTGAGCCTCGGAGGCAGAGACTGCAGTAAGCTGTGATTGTACCACTGCGCTCCACCATGGGCAACAGAATTGGAAGCCCAAGGTTCCAGCTGCCCAAGCTGCTGAACAGCCTGCTAAGAACAACAGAGAGTAAAGTTCCTGTAAATTAACAAAGTAAAATACATTATTTCTGTCAAACCAGACAACAGTGAAATATGATATAGATCTACTGAAAAGAAAAAAAAAAGCCAGGCCAGGTGTGGTGGCTAATGCCTGTAATTCCAGCACTTTGGGAAGCCGAGGCAGGCAGGTCACCTGAGGTCAGGAGTTTGAGACCAGCCAGGCCAACATGGTGAATCCCTGTCTCTACTAAAAACACAAAAATTAGCTGGGTGTGGTGATGGGCACCTGTAATCCCAGCTACTCAAGAGACTGAGGCAGGAGAATCACTTCAGCCTGGGAGGCAGAGCTTGCAGTGAGTCTCGATCATGCCACTGCACTCCAGCCTGGGTGATAGATAGCGAGACTCTGTCTCAAAAAAATAAAAAAAATAAAAAATGCAATAATTATACAACTGTCCTAGATTTTACATATCTACAACCTACTGCCTTTAATCCCAGATACACAGGTTATTAGCATGCTGACTTGAAGGAGGAGAGGCCATTTGTACTGGCCTAGGAGACAATAAATAAACCTTACTTACAGGAGACAGCATCTTCAATCTGTGTCACATTAGCAAAGTGAGCAGTGTTTGGGATGCCCAAACACCTCATGCCATGAGCATGACGCCATTCCTGGGAGAAGAGAGAAGCAAAAGGACCACGTGAAATCGGAATAGCTGAACACAGAGCACTAGCCCCATTCTACTCATAAATCCTAACATGGCCCTTTGCAAGACTCCACCTAAAGGCAGCATTCCTTGTGTTTCATGTTTGTAAACAGCTGGCTATGACTAACAAAAGGCTGGTATTTCAAAGCAGCATTGCACTGTTTGCCTCACTGGGCTGGCTTGTAAGCCTAGAGACAGTAGTCTTACACATAAAATTTCTGGGTGAAGATCACAGGAAAATATCACAACTCTAACTACATCTCCCATGCTGCGGGAGAACCTACCAAAGCCCCAGCAACTCTGAACACCTGAATGAATACGGGTTACTAATGGCAGGTCAGCATCATCTTTGTTAGGCATAATGATGTGGTAAAACATGACGGCAGTTCTGGCTGAGGGATGGTAAATGGCATGTGGGTTTTATCCTGGATGTCAACTCCAACCATTGGAGGTGGTGCTGAGAAATATTCAGAACTCACTCATGGGTTCAGCAAAAGAGACCCAGGATCAATTAGTAATATGTATGACTCAGAGATGGGGAGAGGAGTTCATATAAATTCATCATCCTTGGTCTAGCATAAATCTTTTCCATTCTGTAATATTTCTTTCCAAAGTGTAAGAACTGAAAATAGAGCCTAGTTAGAGGTGAGCCCACTTACAGCAGCACCATCTGAACAATGCCCTGTCTCAAGAATAGCTTGATAAGTAACAGCCCCTTTGTTTTCTCAGAGAGGCAAAGGCCCATTTAAGATCCAAAAGAGATCAGTCAGTTCCATTTTCAGTCCTGAGTATTAGCAATGGGGTAGAGAAATAACCAAGTCAAAATTGATCTAAAATGCTAGCAAAAAACAAAAAGAGAAGTCTAAGAGCAGGCAAGAGAAAACCAAATGAGGTTCAAAGAGCAGACAGGCCGGGCGCGGTGGCTCAAGCCTGTAATCCCAGCACTTTGGGAGGC